AAAGAAGGTAAGCTGGATTTTAGATGCGAACAATATTTTTATTTTATTTTATTTAGATTGGGAAGTTTAGTTTCTCCCTGAACCGTATCTTGTCCATATTGTTTAGAGATGTCCAGGAGTTAATTATTGTAAGATTACGCTTCTGATATAGACAATTACATTGTTTAGAAATAGAGAAAAAATGAGAATGAGAGCCAGTGAGAGAGAGAAAAAAATAAATAAAGAGAAACAGGAAAAAAGATAGGGGGAGAGATAAAAGTGAGAGGGAGACTGGAGGTGGAGAGGAAGTGGGGGAGGGAGAGGGAGAGGGAGTGGGGGAGGGAGTGCGCGCACACACACACACACATATATAATGGATACACATATATTGTATATATATAATATATATTTATATGTAAGTATATACATGTGTGTATATATAAAATGTATAAATAAATAACAATATATATATACATGCAATTTTATGTTTTGTCTCACCTTTTCATCCTAAACGCATTTTCTTGATTCTTTATCGTACCCTCCTTTCCCTCCCCGAACAGTATGCTTCGAGAGCGAGACCAAAGAATTCACGTGTTCCGAACCAGTCCTGACGTTCAACAACACTGGCCAAGGGATCGACTTAGCACTGGGAGGCCATGGCAAGGGAGGCCTTCCCAGTCTGCCGATACCCATCCACCAGACTCCACATGGCTTGAATATTTCCTCCGTGATGATACCAGACGAAGGAAAGGTGGAGTTCAGGATTAAAGAAAACTTTGTGGAAGTGAAGAACGCTGGTAGCTGGGAGAGTGTCTTCAAAGGTGAAAAGGGAAAAATTGGATTCTACAAGTTCTCCGCTCCACCGGATGCACGGATCTGTGTGACTTGCAGTAAGTATGCATCTCGCCATGAGTTAAATGAAGACCTTTTATTCTCATTTGGTTTGCTCTGAAGAAGGAAAATATCGACAAGACATTCAGTATGCCTTTTTGTTCTTCTCTCTTGCTCCTGTTAACTTCGTGGTTTTAGTCTAAATTTGTTAAGCGTGAATTCTTGTTTCATGACTTCAAATTACCTTAAAGGAATGCACTTTATATTACAAGGATTTCTTTCTATTGCTTTGACAATTCAGAAATGCGTTATATTATTACCGTTATAATAATATCTTGATGAGATAGTTAATAATCAAACATTGGTATACTTTACATAATTCCACATGATTATCATTAGCACTACCATTCCCATTTCGGAAACTCATATTTTGCCATTTTTACATGATTATGAACAACATGATTCCCATTAGTCATTATTACTGTTCTCACCACTATCATTATTATTACTATTATTATCATTATCATGGTTATTATCATATAATAAAAATAATGATTATCATGACAATTCTTTCCGCCCAAATGACAGATACAGAGGATATTTTTGACAAGAATTCTGCACCTACTGAGATCCCTGAACAGAACAGCACACCTGACCACCACAACACGGAACAGAACATTTTTACCACCGAGAACAGAGACCAAGATACTTTGGCTACTGAGAACGGAGAACGGGAGAACACTTCTGCCCCTGACAATCGAGAACAGAATCCCTCGGCCACTGAGAACGGAGAACGGAACACTTTTGCCACCGAGAACACTGAACACCGAAAATCTGGCGGCATTGTCACGGCTGCGAGTGCAAAAGAAGAGGATAAAGGTATTTGTTATTTGATAAACCTTTTTTAGTGTTGAGCCCATGGAATCAGATGCTGTGATTTTTGTATTTATTTCTCTATTTATCATTCTTTCATATAATGAGACAGCCTAAAGTGGATATAGCTTTAGCATGACTTAACCATTCATTAAACTAAGGATAGTTACAAGGAATGAGGATGTTGATGGAAATACATTGGTAGAGGGAACGCATATAGATGCAATGTGAAGATATATTGCAAGATTAAGTGCAATTTCAATAATACTATTTTGTGAGAGGCAATTCAGGGCTTTTAACGATCTTGCATCTATATCCCAAAGTCAGGACTGGAATATTCTTTCATAAATAAAAAAAAAAACACATATCCCAAAAAATAAGATAACACGAGACATAGAAAGTTAATTAAAAAATATGAATAAAATACCTCAAATAAATAACCAAAAACAGGACATCCCCCACGAAATTATAAAGAATTCTCTAAACCATTCTCTGCCACCTCCAGCAGACAACCGATCGTGGTGGTGGCTGCTGCTGATTCCCGCCTGTCTCATCCTTGCCGTCTACCTGTTCACGAGACACAGACAGTCTTCTCGGTACTCCGTGAGAAGAGCGCTGGAAAGCGAGGCTGCCGAGAGAAAGGGCGACGGAACTCCGGGAATAAAGCTAACGAATGAGGAAGAAGGAAAAATCGAATGAGAACATCGAATGGAAGCAAATCTGAAAGTGTGAATGACTGAGGTTGCGGGAGTGCGAATAGTGGATCTCGGCTTAAGGTGCGAATAGTGGATCTCGGGGTGCGAATAGTGGATCTCGGCTTAAGTGCGAATAGTGGATCTCGAAGGTGCGAATAGTGGATCTCGGCGTAAGGTGCGAATAGTGGATCCGGTTCGAGGTGCGAATAGTGGATCCCAGTGCGGAGGTGCGAATAGTGGATCACGGGGCGGAGGTGCGAATAGTGAATCTCAGCGCGAGGGTGCGAATAGTGGATCCCGGTACGGAGGTGCGAATAGTAGAGACGTGTAAACAACCGAGTTAACTCGCTGAATGTGTTATCAACTGAACGAGATAGTTGGGGGAGGGGATAATGAGAGATAACTCAATCAACAATTGGAAGGATAGAATGAACGTATAAGCAACTGCGAGAGAAGGCGGGTTAGAAGACTGATGAACGTACGCGCGAACCTAGGGATGATGCTATGATAGAAAATATGGTATATGATTGTGGAATGACCTTAGCCACTTCCTGATTAGATTTGGAAAAGGATTCTGCTTTTGTTTCTGAAGAATGATATAATGTGTGATATATTATGATTACGGAATTTCCATTCATATCCGAATGATGGTATATTATTACTATGATTATTATTACCATAATTGTTCTTATGAATACAAATTGCACAAAATATTTTAATGTTTAATATATTTTTACATACAGTACAGTAAGAAATAGCCGAATTCAACAAATACATGTGGTTATGTTGAAAAAGAAGAAGGAAATGGGTGGGAGATAGTAAAACATATTTTAAATCTTTCATTTTTTATAATTAGATGACCATGTTATTAGCATTTACTAATGGACTAATAACTCTGATCATTGCAATGATTATATTATGTTATAGCAGTAATAAGAATAGTGATAAGGTTTATGCTAACTGTAAAACTATAAGCATGTTTGTTTGTCTGTATACCTACAGACATTTAATGCATGAACAATTATTAATTTCCTTACCTTCGTTGAGCATGGCTGGGAAAAATACAAAACTATGTAAAGTTGCAAACATTTATTAATATCAAAAAAGAAACCAGAGCTCCCAGCATCTCCCTAAAACCATTCTAATCTAAAGAAAGATTTTTTTTTTTTTTTTTTTTTTTTTTTTTTTTTTTTTTTTTTGGTACTTAATGTTACATGAAAAGGTAAGGTGTGGAGTTGCAGAAATATTAATTTTGAAACAGGATATATTTGTGCATTTGTGAGTTTGATGATTAGGATATATGTATTTTTTTTGGTGTGTTTTTGATGCTTGATGTAGTGATAATGGTTATCATAGTGATAATGGTAAACGCGATAATGGTGACGAGGGTAATGGAGATGCTATTGATGATTATTGTATTGATTACCTTTACATACATATACAGGGATGGCGATGAGAATATAAAATTAACGGTAATTTTGATGATAGAATTTGCAATCTCAGTTCAAAACCTTTGACCAAAATCATGTTACGACAGTGAATACCAACAACAAAGGTCACACTTGTCTAGTTAACACTCACTTTTTCAAAAGTTTTATTTTTTTATTTTTTTATTAATTAATTAATTAAATAATTTATTTATTTATTTTATTTTTTATTATTATTTTTTTTATAAAAGGCAAATATGCAAAGAGCCAAGTACAAAAGGTAGGGAGGCTGTCGTAGGCTGATACAAAGACCACACATTCGTAGAGATCACCGTGTAATGCATTGGGGAAAAAAACAAGAAAAGTGTTTACTCATTCCATTTCCATTTTAAGACCATTTTAAGACCATGTAACTGGTGGCCTACTACCCCTTGGAACTGTATGTTTACAAATTGCGATAAAGTATATTCAACATATTTTGTTAGTTCTGCTTTTTCTATTTTAGTCTTTCAGTTTATATATGTACATATACATACATACACATACATGTATATCAATGTAGATATATATATATACATATATATATATATATATATATATATATATATATATATATATATATATATATATATATATATATATATATATGTATGTACATCAAGCTATCTATATATACAGATATATATACATGTATATACATATGTATATATACATGCATGCCCACAACACACATATATATACACATGTATATGTACTTTATATATGTATAAAAGAGCATATACATGGATATTCATATATGAATATATATATGTACATGCATATGTATATATGTATGTTTTTATGTAATGTATATGTATATATATACACATGCATATATATTATATATATTTGTATGCATATATGTACATGTCTAATATGTATATATATGTATATACATATGTGCATATATATATACTTATATATGTATACCTAAATAAATTTATTTAGATGTATATGTACACATTTTTAAAAATTCATTTATATGTATCTATATATTTGTGTGTGTGTTATTGTGGGAAACGTATAATATATAATCATTGTTTATAGATTAGGAAAAATAAAGTTAGTGAAAATGATACTTTTATATTCCTTCATAATCTTGTTTCATCTTTCAACATTTTCCTACACCCTTGTGGAAAGAACAGCAAATATGTATTAAGAAAATTAACGAATATAAATATATTGAGAAACTGTTACCAACCCAAGTCAAGACACACTGGTTTTGATTTCTGTGCTCTCCCCGACCCTGAGAAAGACTAATATTTAATAGCCTGGATATTGCCCTGTGTTGCAAGATCTTTGCAGTTCTGGCTATCTGCCGCGCAAATACAGCCAATCTTAGGTTCCTGATAGACGGAAGTAAGGAATGGGTCCCATAGTCTGAAATACTTGAAATGTTTAGTGGGCGGACGACTTCAGAATGGCAAAGTATTAAGGGACATTTATGAGTGGAACACCCTGGTGATGCCTTTCTTATGCTCACAACTTACGGTACAGGATAAGCCGGTGGTTCTTTCCCTAAGGGGTGTCTGTGTCAGTTGGAGCGCAAATCCTTGGGGAGAAAGCAGGAATTTCTCTAATTTACTTTGCTATTCTCTTAACGAAAGCATGGGAAAACAAGTTCGATAATATTACGATTAATTCATACTTGATAAAAAAAAAACATTTTTTATTTTTTTCAAAATCCGCGAGGGAATTTCACTCCCAGATGCAAGAGGGGCGTGGAGGGTAGGAGAAAGTTCCAGTAGTAAGAAGACTAAGAACCACTGTGATCAGCAAAGATCCCATTTCTTGGGCTCATCAAAAGAGTAATATTTACTCGGAGTCACAGAACGTCTTGGAGAAAGACAAATATATCTAGAATCTAGCTCAGGATTGTCAGCCTCGACCAGTTGCCACAGTCACTGGCGGCGTGTACATTGACACACCTTAATATCAAAGTCTAATGCAGAAGGCTGTGCTGCTGCGACCCCCTTGGAACGCACAGAAACCGCTAAATATTCACGGCAAGATGGAATGTGACCGACACGGGGGGGGGGTGGGGGAGGTGCCTAGGACAGAAACTGCTAACCTGGCATCCCTGTGGTCGGTCCTACACTTTATTCTGCCGTAGATTCTTGGAAGATTCTTTGTAGTCCGGGGCGTGGTTTGGGATGACAGCAACCCCCAAGTAGGGTTATAAGATGCGCAAGCCCTCTGCAATGAATAATTTCGGGTTCATGTCGAAAACACATTCAGAACACTCACGCGAGCCCGATCACGACACCAAATTTCTTCAACGTTTTATCATAACGTAAATACGGAGGAGCTGGGAAGCGGCAGCCACCCCTACCCATGAAACTATCTAATTACTCTTTTATAGTTTACCCCGCTATTTACCTTGAAACCTTCATACTCTCCCCTACTATAGGTTCCAAATTCGAGGGGCATAGCAAGTATATGTCATGCACACGAATAGCAAGAGGCTGAGGAGAATCCACCGATGGCGGCATCTCGCAACTGTTTTGACTACTCAACCCAATTTCCAGACCACAGTGTTCTCCGAATGCACTGATCAGCGAAGAAGGGAAGACAATTCATATATATATTTGCTCTGGTAAATGCTGGTCTCCATTAACTCCCGAGAAGGAAGAAGAGAGAGAAAAAACACAAGGACGGGAAACTCGTCTCTATGAACTGCCGAGAAGGAAGAAGAGAGAGAAAAAACACAAGGACGGGAAACTCGTGGTGACCCTCGCTCTACGTTCCTTACTAGTGACGATTCTTAAATCTAGATGGCGTGACGAGCTCTCGGGGGTAACTCTTTTAAAATAGGGAATTGCAAAGTCCACACGAGAGCGATAATATGCGGCACTTCGAGGAAAATATTAAAATCCAGAAATATTGCTTTCGAAGTAGTCTCATTATCAGCACAGGACTATTGAATGATAATAATAATGGTAATGATAATAGTGCCTCACGATGATGATGATGATGATGATGATGATGATGATGATGATGATGATGATGATGATGATGATGATGGTGATGATGATGATGATGATGATGATGATGATGATGATGATGATGATGATGATGATGATAATGATGATGATAATTAAAACAAAAATGAGGGCGTAATGAGAAAATAATAGTAATTATGATAACGATAATTATTATTATATAAAAATTAATAACAATAATAGTAATAAGAACAACAACAAAAACAATACTGACAATAACACTAATGATGATAACAAGCAATAATGACACTAATAGTCACCAACCAACACCTCATACTTGCAGAACATACCTGAAAACACACCACGTGCCAAACCCCTTCTATCTTCCCCTCTTTTGTAATCCTTCCTTTCTCGCTATTCTCATTTCACCTCATCCTTTCCCTTCTCCCAGTTCCTCTCTTCTTCCCTCACTTCCCTCGTCTCTCCTTCGCTTCGCTTGGATATTGTGTTAAGCTTCGTCTAATTTCAAAAAAAGGGAAATGGGACAGTTTTTGTTCAGGCGATTGTTCAACCCTTTGCTCTCCTACTGTGTAGATATTAGTTCAGTTTGTTCAGTTTATTTTTAGATAAAAGGTTGTGTAATGTTTTTTCTTATCTTTATGTTTGTTTGTTTATTTATTTATTGTTATTATTATTGCTATTATTATATATTAT